GACCCTATTCTAGTACCCTATATAGCACCCCTAAAGGGGACCCTATTATAGTACCCTATATAGTACCCTTAAAGGGGACCCCATTATAGTACCCTGCAGTACCCTTAAGGGCAGGGTGCTGATGACTTCGTCGTTTCGTCCTGCGCCCCAAACTCTACACCTTAAGGCATGAACCCCAAACGCTCTAGGCGTCTAGGCCGCAAGCATCTTCTTCTGCCCAGAGAACCCAATACCCTTTTATTAAGGAACATACCTCAAATTATGCGGGGCCTTAGTATAATGATTTAAGGTATGCTCCTTAATTAAGGGGTTTTGGGCTCTCTGAGCTTAAGACCTAGCAGGTTCGATCCTTGGCACGCTGAGAAGGGCTGCCACAGCCACGAATGCCGCTCGCGCCTTCGGCGGCACAGACACGTCAGGTTTGGAGCTTAGGTCTTTTTTGGGGGAAATTCGCTTTTCCATCGGTGAATAGCATTCAGAGCACCTAGGGTTTGGGGGTTTAGGTCTCTGGCAGGATTTGGGACTTAGGGTTAAACCCTAAACCCTAAACCCTAAACCTTTTAGGGCTCCCCATGGGTTTTACTGTAAGAGGACCGTCCCTGTCGAGGCATCCCGCGGGTCTTCCTCCCATGGAAGCCTCAGGTCCTGAGTTCGCTCTCTGCTGCACGAAACTCCAAGGTTCCATAAATTCAAGAGAACCCAACATATTAGGATCCATAAATATATATATATATAGAGGACCTAAACACCCCTAAACCCTAAACCCCTAAATAAACCCTGCAGAATTTCGGGGGGCTGCTTGCCGCAATTTAAAAAAAAAACAAAGCTGTCCCTAGTTTAGGATAACCCCCGCTCTGCTGCACCTGGCAGGACGACCGCAGCACCTCTCAAACTCTGGCTTTGGGACTCAGTTTGCTGGGCTTTTTTAGGGGGTTTAGGGCTTTAGGGGTTTACGGGTTTAGGGGTTTAGGGGTTTAAGGCTTTAGGGGTTTAGGGGTTTAAGGCTTTAGGGGTTTAGGGCCAACAACTGGCTCACAGCTCGGTTTGAAGGTGAACCAACCTCAGATGCAGCACCTGTCAAGGAGCCCATGCGGCACCTAAACGCTCAACCTTTAAGGTAACATCCTCAAAAACGGGAAGGTTTCAACAGCTTGACGCGTGCATGGTTGCTCGGTCCGTACAAGCATTACCCCGAGGATCTTGCCTTTGCACTACGATCTTGAGTTAACGGCTTTCGAGCGATCAAGCTTGAGGCATTCATACAGACGCATGCTGGGAAGGGCTTGAAACTTTAGCATTGGCTGCTGTGGACTTGGAGTTTTGCGGCTCAGAAAGCATCCTATCTTGAAGTTTCATGCCATCTTTGTCCTTGTCCTCTTCCAGTTCGTTTTGAACGTAAAGGACAGGCTGCTACTGCTGCACGGCACTGATTAACTTGCACATGTCTGGCTCAAGGTCGCACTGCGCGACAGTATGATTGCTTCAATTGCGAGGTTTTAGGGTTCGGGGCATAGGGTGCCGGATCTATGGTTTGACTTAGTATTTAGTATTCCTGTGCTAGCTAGTTGCATAATTCCATTTCACGGCCTGACAGTCTGGCTGCATGGTGCCAGGGCTTATGCATGTATCATCTCATCCAAAAGCCGCTGCTGCAGAATGCTGCTCCAGTGTTGCCGTAATTATATCTTTATCCTACTATCATCTCAGTATTGTCTGCGGTGTTGACCTATGCAACCATGCCATCTCATCATTTCCTGTTGATGTAGTGTGACTAGTTTGTGCGAAGTCGTGAAGCTTCTCAGCACGTATTGAAAGCACTCCAAGGCACCTTTTAGAAGGGAGGGGCAGGGGTGAACCTCTGGGCGGGTCCCAAACCTTACATGCGGGGCTACTTGCCAGTAATTTTGCGTAGTGCGGGTGTGTCCTCCCGCCCCACCCTAACTGTTGCTAAACGACCAAATGAGGTCCTGCACACGGTTTTCACCTGGTGCCTCCTGCGAGATCCACAGGGCTTTCGTGATTCATATACGACTACAGTATTGCTATCTTCGTTCGTCCACCGGTTTTCCCTACCACAGCCCTTAACGCTCAATCGCTGCTAAAACCTATCTCAAGAACTTGCCTGAAAGCCAGGCGCTCGCGACGGCGGAGCCAATGCCAAACGCATGGCCTGGCAGAACAGCTATATTATATTATATTATATTATATTATAGTATATTGTATTATATTATAGTATATTGTATTATATTATAGTATATTATATTATATTATATTATATTAAGCTTAAGGCTTTTGTGCTTGGTTTTGTTCGAGGTCCCTCCGCAGACGGAAGCAACAAGGATTCAACTCTTTTCGTGTTAAAATAGGAAACCCACCCTACACCCTAAACCCTGAACCCTAAACTCTAAACCCTAAACCCTAAACCCAAACCACGACAGCCCAAAAACCCGAGATCTTGGGCTTACGTAAGGGGCCTTGAGGATTGGGGGCTCAAGGGCTCTGCGTACTCTACGCTTACGCATCCCATACTCATCGAGCGCATAGACCACGTAATGTATGTTACATACTACATAATGCATAGCATACATTTTCTAGTATACAGTATAATGTATTTCCGTCATGTACTGCAGCTTAAAGACTATAATATGCTATGAACCAGATATCATATACCATGTATTATCTAGCTCGTAAGCTCCCGATTTAGGAGCTCCGTGTTTAAGGCTGCAGGATTCAAGTTCAAGAGTTGCAGGAGCTTTGGGGTTTGGGGTTTAGGCTCTTAGGCTGAGGGTTTAGAGTGCGGGGTTTCGGATTTTAGGGCTTTAGGACCTGGGGTTTAGGGTTTAGGGTCTAGGTTCAGGGCTTGGCATTTGGAGAAGTCTGGATCCGAGACTGCCGGTGAACCCCCTCATACAGGGACACGTTCGGGGAACCGTGCCTGCTGTCTTTATGCATATTTCCACATCAACGGCCGTGGCAGTACATGCTGCAGCAACCGCGAAACGGAACAAGTCGAGGACTGGAATTTCCGACGGTCGACGAAGGTCACTGCTCTGTCAGGTGTTTTAATTCGGCGGAGGCTACAGCTGCACGAAGATTTCCATCCAACCCCAACCGGCCGGGCAGGCAGAGCGTAATGGAGACAAGGACACGATCCGCGTCGGTGATGCTCAGGCCTCGGGTTTGAGCGCTTGTGGTAGCACTGCATTGTTTAAAGACAAGAAGGACTAGCAGCACCAATCGTAGTAGTCGTCGTCCTAGTTGTATTAGTGGCAGTGATTAGTGTAAGTGTCGTAGTGCTGTAGTGCTGGATGTAAACATGTAGTGCTGTAGTGTGGTAGTGTTGTAGTGGTGCAGTATTGCAGTGCTGCAGCGTTGTAGTTCTGTAGTTGTGTCGTGTTGTCATGTTGACGTTTTGTCGCTTTGTCGTGTTGGTCGTGGTCGTGGTGGTGGTACTGGTGGTGGCAGTGGTCGTGGTAGCAGCAGTTGTCTGGATTGGGCCACCATTGGAGGTTGAACCCGGCACTCGGCACCCGACACCCCTGATCCCTGTGGGCCAGTTGAAATAGCTCGAAATCCTAAGCAGGAAATCCTCAAACCCTGAACCCTAAACCCTGCACCCTAAACCGAAATCAAGAAGCCCTGAACAATCCGCCACACAATCTGGGCCAGCCACGCTGCTGCGCTGCAGCGCCCATGGCCTGGGAGGACTTCGGGAGCTGTGTCACACAAGTAATCTCTACACTCTGCATGTTTACGCACATCCAGTGATATGTATGTACGAGGACGCAATATCATACTTATATATACCTTTATATGCATACACATCCACAGAAAGCACATCCATGCATGCATGCTTGCATATTCATGCTATATAAACGGAAATAAGTGGTAGATAGACAGATAACTAGGCCAACTAAGAAGATGGAGAGGCGGGTTGAGATCTGGCTATCTGCGAACAAGCTAAGTAACCAAGCATGAAGCCTGAACTCCCTCAACTGTGAAACCCCATCACCAATCCCAATCCCGGAATCTTCACCCCCCAACCTCAAACCAAAACTCCCTTCTTCAGACTCCCAAAAAGCGAAATCCGAGGCTGCAGCATCGATGGCCTCGCCGTTGGTGAGGGCTTTGGTGCTCGACCAATAGCCCAACCTTGGGGAGTTCCGTGCTTCAAGGTTTAGGGCTTTGGGTTCAGGGTCACCCCGCAGACGGCAGAGCCCGGTCTTGGCCTTGTAGAGTTTAGGGCTTAGGGTCCAGAGACAATCCTTCTGTTCTATCAGCTCTCCAAGAGCATTGCTTTCCAGACGTCGTCCACTCTGTGGGTGCTTGGTAGAGCAACCCTGCAGCACCGTTTTGCTAGGATGCTGGGGGGGGGTGCCAGGAGTCAGCACCAGGGCTCAACTTTCTGGATCACACACCCTGCGTCGTGGCATCCACCGGCTGGTTCCTTCGGGTTGCTGCGACGTAGAGGCTGCACAAGCACGCGCACATGCCACGAAGTCCGACACTCTGAAACCACGCCCCACACCCTAAACCCGCTACCTTGAGATCCGCGACACCTCTCACACACATCCCGAAACTGTGGGAAAGCCCCAATACTTCCCACCCTGCCCTCCCCAACCCTACGAGCCGCGGGCGCAGTTCCTTCCTCAGCTGTTATGGATGCCGCCGGCGCCCCGGCAGTGAAAGACAGCGAGCCATCCAGGGCCTGCAGCCAGGCACAACGGACAACGGAAGGAAGCCGATGATAGCATTTGATGTACGGTTGATGGTATAAACCCTACATTACCCATCATAAGGATAGTTCAGGGTCCTCCCGTACTTGCGTCACCGACCAGAAGCGCGACTCCCCAGCAGCACCAGCAGTGATTCTTTTAGTGTCTTCCAGACGGCATGCGGTCTCAACCCGGGGCAGAAGTATGCCGAAAAATGCCGAAAATCACGCTCATCCGCGTAGAGTCCTACGTACAAATAGCTGGTGCCTTCCGAGCCCTTGCCTTTCAGGAGTCCCGCGGTGCAGCTTTGGCCCAGCGTCGAGGACCCTGCTTGGGCTTCGGATCTTTCTCTTTGCGAGGCTCTGAGCTGGAAACTGCGTAGCCTGCGACCCTACTGCCACCGCCCATCTCTCTCTCGAGCCGGGCAGCTTTCGCAGCTTTCCGTGCCTGGCTACGCCGGGAATGCTCCGCAATCTCATCGATACCGAAGAAAGACGCGGGTGGCAATAACGGCAACGGATACCCTTCTGGCCAGCCTGTTGCAGGGGTCTTCCGAGGAACAGAAGCCGCGCCACCCTTCCACTCCTTCACGGGTCCACAGGAGGACTTGAAGTACTCGGCAATCTCCTGCCGAGTGTATTGCTGTCGATACCTGACATGCAGCTCAGCCAACGTATAGGCTTTGCCATCTGCTGGGTCTCTCTTGGCCTCGAGGGGTTGACACGTGTTCTTCCAGTACAGGCGGACCTCCTCCAGTTTGTACTGGCCCCTGTACTTCTCCTTCAGGCCCTCCAAGGTATACTCCCTGCCATCATCAGGGTCGAGCCTCCGTTCTGTGGTTCCTGAAGGAGCAGCAGATGCAGCGCCCTCGCGCACACAGCCCCACCAGACGGCCACCTGGGAGCCCCCGGCGGGGAAGGTCCTCCGCGCCCAGCCGATGCGCTCGCGCTCCTTTGCGAGCGCGGGAGGCCACTCCTCCGGAGCCGATCCCACTCGTGGGGCCTCTTCGGGCTCCTGGGAGGTGGCCTTCCAAGGCTCCCGCGCCAAGTCCCCTCTGAGGCCTCGGAGCTCTGGCACCCAGAGCTTGATGTACTCCCCGTCAGGGTCTTGTTGCGCTGCCCAGTAGATGGCTTCCAAGGTCTGCAGCCGCGTCCGTGGAGGCCGCAGTGGTTTGGCCTCCTCTTGGATACTGTTGCCGCCAGTGGCACGCGGCACACACGTGAATGCCCAGTTAAACCAGTTGGAAGCTGGCTCGTAGTCGATCAAAGTGGACTCGAACCACTCCGCACCCAGCCGCCAGTCGATGCCCAGGTCACACACCAAGAACCATGCTGCAACCTCACGCCCTGCGTGGCAACAAGAACCTGTGGCCTCCAGCTCGCGCATGGAAGCATCCAGAAAGGGAAACCCAGTTTGCCCCTGGCACCAAGGGGCCAGCAACTCGTCCTCTTGAAGCCAGCCACCTGGCGGGTGGCGGCCATAGATGCCCTCGAGCTTGAAGATCTTACTGCCTTTCAGGAGGGCACTGAAGCGCACGAAATCGCGGAAGTAGAGCTCGTGGACCATGCGAGCTGTGCAGTCGGTCTGCCGGCGCTCCTTCTCGTAACGCTTTAGCTCTGCATAAAGGTACCTGGCAGACAAGCAGCCGTGTGCAAGCCAGGGAGACAGCTTCGATTGAGACTTCGCGACCGTGCTGCTGTGCCCGTCGTGAGGGAAGTTGGTCGCACCGACAAACTGCAAAGCGATGTCGTTGCTCTCGAAGAAATACTCCTCTAGCCTTGCCAAGGCTGCGGTTTCGCCCCCTACCCAACTGACTTCCACTCGGTCGTCGGGCTCCGGCGCGGCAAGGCCCAGGTCAGTGACGCTGGAGGGCAGCCCCTCGGCACGTGGCCAGTGAACGGGACTTGACTTGGTCAAGTCCACACGCGGCAGAGGATTCCGCACGTGGACACGCTCGGAGAAGCAACGCCGGTAGCCGGAGAAGCCGGAAGCCCCCTTCCTGCGCACCTCTGCAGGCAGGTCATCGTAGTGGTGCAGCTCGTAGGTCCAGCAAAGCTGTAGTGCGCCGGCACGCTTTGCCTTCAGCACCTCCTGCACCTTCTGCTCCAGTCTAAGCTCCTCTGGGCAGACCTCCCTGCAGGCGTAGCATGCTGCAACTTCGAAGTCATCACAAAGTTCTTCGAAGGCACGTGCTGTCGAGACTCCACGACGGACGCACAGCTTATGCCCTGCTGCCTCAAGTCGCTTGCTCAAGTCTGCCAGCGCCTCCAACTGGAAGAGAGCACGCCGTGGTCCGGTGCGCGGAAAGCCGGCCAGCGGCGTGCTCTTGAACCACCTGGGATCGAGCACGTAGAGGTGCAGCACAGGGAGGCCTGCTGCATGAGCGAGGCTCAGAGGCTCGTGGTCGTGAGTCCGAAGGTCTGTGGCTTTGAACCAAACGACGGAAACCTTCTCCCGCGGCATGGCTGCAGCGGCTGCGTCCTGACCTTCTTGAGCCACGACCGCGACAGAAGCCTTCAACGATCGCGAGTCGCACTGCTGACAACAGCAGTTGCGGTGCTGGTGCTGCTGCTGCTGCTGGTAGCAGCAGTTGCAGGACTGCTGTTTAGCAGTCGTCCCCGTCGTCGTCGTAGTGTAGTAGTCGTCGCTGTTGTTGTACTAGCACCAGCAACAAATAGCAGGACGAGTCAAAAAAGATTACAGACCATATCTTGTGCGACCAGCAGCATTGAATCTCTTCATCAACGGCCAGGGCCACCGAAGGCTCAATCCGCATGCATCAACCACTCAACCATCCCTTGAACCTCCGTCCGGATGGGAGTCCCAAGCCTTGACAAACTGCAGCCCTGAAGCTCCCTGGTCCCCTGAGACTCTGAAGGCACCTCAACCTTAAGAGCTGCCACCCCAGGCCTCCACAACATGCGGGGACTCCTTCAGCGAGTACTGTGCCTCAGACAGCGGAAACGGATACGTAGTTAGGTAGCTAGGCAGGCAGCTAGGCAGGTAGGCAGCCAGGCAGGTAGCCCCTTGATGTACAGGCAGACACGCCGGAGTGTGCAAGAAAAGCATCGATGCCGATCTTTGCTCAATCTACTATGAGGGCTGGACAAAGCAGAAATGATGTTTCCGTATCGTAGTTAAAATCTACACAGAACCCCTAAATGCCCATTATGTCAGAACCCTAATCGAAACCCTCACTTACGGAGCACTGACAAACACTTAAAGTAACCGTGCTAATCAAGGCGCCTGTATGAAAACATTCTCAAACCCTATGCAACATCATTTATAAGACCTGAGGATGAAGGCCCCTGCATGACACCTGCAAAGGCAGCGGCCAGCGCGGGGTTGGAGGCCTCGCTACCCGGATGTGTGACGGCCTGACGCAGTGCAACACAAACTCTTTCATGAGAGACGATGTTGATGAAGAGGAGGATGAGGAGGACTGAGGATGAGGATAGGAAGGGCGAGGAATAGGAATATTAGGATGGAGAGAGGAGGAGGTGAAGGAGCTATCATATTCGAAGCCCTGAAACCCTAAACCCCCCAACCCCACTTCCCTAACCGGAACGCCGACCCAGAGCTCGAGCTGAGGCTGTGGCGAGTCTAAGGTCAGTGACCTTCTGCAGCTCGTTTAGAGCTGCCTCGTCCTGGTTGCGTCGGCAAAAAGGAAAAACATTGGTTTAGGGTTTAGGGTTCAGGGTTTAGGGTTTAGGGTTTAGGGTGCAACCTGTGGTATACATGTAAAAATGAGTTAACATAAAACGTACCGTTTAGAAACGTAACAAATGATATACAACAAGCGACATACAACCTGTCGTCTATATATGTAACATGCCATATATCATATAACAGAAACACAACAAGTATAACATATAACATATAACATATAGCATAGCTATAATATAGAATGAAGAGTACATAGTATGCAACAAACGTTCGTCGGATGTTTGGTTCATCTTTCGCAATCATCACAACCTCCATCCGAGAATTTGCTTAGGCGATGAAGGTAAGCATAATCCCCTATAAATCTGTAAACCGACCAAGTGCCTGTCCTTTGCTGTCGCCACGGCCGCCCCGAGTCGGGAGCAGGCGACCTCACGCACCGGCGTTCGGAGCTTGTTGAGTTTAGGGTTTAGGGTCTAGGGCTTTTCGGGGAGTCCCTCTGCTTCACAGGCCTGTACATCGTCAAACAGCATGCTCAAGCATCCAAAATCATTCCTTCACTCCACAGTACAACACTGAAACATCGACGCCCTGACAAGAATAGCAGGAAAGCCAGGGATTTTTGCCGGAGAAGTGGTGAACAGGTGCTGTCATGCTGTACAAACCCAAGAGCCTGCAGGAGGAGGTTGTCGGCTGAGTTCGGAAGGTCCGTGACGACAGTGCTCCCACCTCAGCAGGCTTTCTTTGGTATTTTCGCTGTCATCCAGCGTGACTCATCAAACAGGTTTAGGGTTAGGGTTTAGGGCTGCAAACGGACCACACGAGTATCTCATGGCCCAGCGACGTGCCACGCCCCGCGCGGCAAGCGCTCCTGCTGCTACGGCCGCCTGGTCCGGAGATTTCCCCACGACGAGTGGCACATGACTGTTGTTAATGCCGGTACTATTCTTGTGTATGTGTGTAAGTATATATATATATATACATATTACATGGATATGTATATGTCTATGTGTGTGTCTGTGTTTATACGTATGTGTGTGAATACGTATCAGTATACTCTATACATATACATATACATATACATATATATATATATATATTTTGATATAGCTTGTTGTATATGTATGTATACTCTATATATATATATATACATAACACACATAGACATATATACATATATACAACACCAAATATATGTCAATGATACTCTTGGCACCTCAGCTCCCGGCCCTTTCTTCGAGCTCTGAGAAGCTCCAGCTTATGCCTCCCGGATTGAGGAGGGAGGGTCATCGGGCTAGGGTTCAGGTTCAAGTTTAGCGTTTAGGTTCAAGGTTTTTTTAGGGTTTAGGTGGTGAGTTTAGGGATCAGGGTTTAGGGGTTTAGGGGTCTAGGGTTCAGGGTTTAGAGTTTAGGGTTTAGGGCTTCTAGTTTGGGGTTGTTCCCCGCGCGTAGGTGCACGGGGGGCTTCTTTGCTCCTTCATCTGCCACTTGGCTCGCAGGCATTGTCAAGAGCAGCGGCTCCGAAAATCGACACCCCAAGGAGTTTGCAATAGGGTTTGGGGTTTAGGGTTTGGGGTTAGGGCTTAGGGTTTAGGGCTTAGGGTTTAGGGTTTAGGGCGTTTAGGGGTGAGGGAGTGGCATGCTGCTTTCTCAACTTCATACACAAGCTTTCACCCCAAGCTGGTGTGAGGAAGGAAGCCGATCCTGAACTTCTGTCCCACAACCGTTTAGGGTTTAGGGTTTAGGGCCTTTTAAGGCTCCAAAGCCCGAAGCTCTCAAACCGTAACCCCTTGACCTTGCTGGGGTGCCAGGATGGCTGGACGAGCTGCACCAGCTGCGGCCTTCAGGTGCTGTGGGTGTTGTGACCAGAGGAAACGCATTACAGAAATCTGCAGAATTGCGGGGCGATGTTGTTGTTGCTGTTGTTGCTGTTGCTGTTGCTGTTTACTGCTGTTGTTGTTTATGCGGTTTTTGCTGTTGTTGTTGTTCTTGTTGTTGTTGTTGTTGCTGCTGCATGTTGTTGTTGCTGTTGCTGTTGTTGCTGTTGTTGCTGCTGTTGCTGCTGTTGCTGCTGTTGCTGCTGTTGCTGCTGTTGCCGTTGTTGTTGTGAAATGAGATGCATGATGTTGCTGTTGCTGTGGCTGAGGTTGTTGCCGTCGGCATTGCCGTTTGCTGCTGCTCTTTGCTGCGCTTTGCTGCTGCTGCTCCTGCTGCTGCTGCTGCTGCCGCCACTACTGAGGCTTGCTGATGGTTGTTGATGCTGCTGCCGCCACTACTGAGGCTTGCTGATGGTTGTTGATGCTGCTGCTGCTGCTGCTTCCGTCACTCTTCGCAGTCGCTGTCGTTGTCGTTGTCGCTGTCGCTGTCAGCGGTGGCGGTGGCAGTGGCGATGGCGATGGCTGTGGCGGCGGCAGCAGAGGTGGTGGCTGGGGTGGTGTTGCAGTGGGGCAAACGGAAGCGTGGTGGTGTTGATGCTTCACCGATGGTTGTTGTTTGTTTAACATTGCCGATGCGATTGTTGCTCTGCTGTCGCTCATACTGTTGCGGCTGTTGCTGCTGATGACCATGATGACGATGATGACGACGATGATGACGACGATGATGAAGGTGATGATGAAGGTGATGATGGTGGTCATGGTGCTTCAGCTCTGCCAGCCTGTGTGGAAACCAGCGAGGCCAAGCTGGCGGCAGAACGTCCTCCAGCCTGCAAAACAAGCGACAGGTCGTTGCACCCAGGCTTTAGGGATTAGCTCTCAGGATCCAACTTGGCTAGTTAAGGCTTCCATGTGGCCATGGCTGGACCGGACAATCCCAGCAAGAGCACATGTCCTTGGATGCCACGCCAAGCCGCCGCATAAAAACAGCCTGTTCGGCAACTATGTCGGCAAACTGTTTTTCAATTACGGTCAAATCACGAGGCTAGCTGGGCAACCGCTGACTGCAGGACAGGGTGTTGGGGGACTCACGACTCAACTGTGGCCAAGTCAGGGACAAGGGTGTTTGACTGGGCTGAATACCACAACCAACCTGAGGAGCAGGCCATTGCGCCAACGCAGATCGAAATCCGGCTTGCGCGTGTCTCAATTGCAGTCGATCTGTTCAACTTGCTCTATATACTTGAAGTACGGCTCCTGTCAAGGTGACCGGGTGTTTCTTCGGAGGATCTGTTGCCGTCGTTTCGCGGTGTTTATGCATGCAGCGACAGGTCCTGATTTGCTTGCGGCTCACAAGAGCCTAAAACAACAGCTAGGATAGTACAACTGGAAGCATTTGGCTACCTACCATCTGACAGGATGTCTTGTTTGTTGCTCGATCAAAGCACCCTCTTTTGACCCCTGTGGAGACAGCTGGCTATGATGCTCTCATTGAACTGGACATGGCTGCATCAACATAAGCTTCACGATCCTTGCACCCGCAATCATCATCATCATCAATGTCAGCATCACGAAGATCCGAGGCATGATCATCGCAACAGTCACGCTCGTCATCATCATCATCATCATCACGATCATAGTCATGTTTGAAAGCTCCCTCGCCTCGGTCTTTTTGGCTCTGCCGCCGGTTGTAAAGCAGTGTGTCTCGCGCTTTGCGAAAGGAACAGCTAGGCAAAGCCGCCACTGAAAGGTGTGCTTTAGCACAAGCTGCAGCCCAAAAGGTGGAGCTTTTCGTAGCCACAGTTGCTCATCCACTCCTCGCTAGAACCGGTCTGCAACGAAGGGCAGCAGACGAGTGTCCAATGCTCCAGGGTCCGTAGACTGCAGTCGACCAGCCAGACTCTTAAGCCAGAAAAGGAAAAAGTTGCAGAACAGTGCGCAAAGTCGTTCTCGCATCCTGGGTGGCGCCTTCCAGGGCACTTAAGGCGGCCACCTCCTGAAGGTAGTGCTCAAGCGTGGCCATATGCTTTAAGCGAAGCTTCCATTGAATGTCCGAAATCGGACATCCACGGTGGTAGGCCGCGACCGCCCCTCCACCTCTGAGCCCGCCTGGCGTCACAGCCACCAAGCCTTGTAACCCCAGCGTCTGTAACGAGCGGTCCCACCTGGTGCGAAAAGCACTCGGGCTGAAAGGGTACAACCGTTCGGTAGGCTCGAGGTCAGCGAAAGCGGTCTGTATCAAAGCCATCGCTCGGTCGTCATCAACGCGTATGTGCTGCACCTTCGGTCTTCCGCGCAACGACGTCTTCGAAGAGTCGAGGCGCAGAAAAACCGCAGGGCAAAACAGAAAGAGGTCCTCGGGGAGCAGAAGGTGTCGTCGTTGGCAGGCTAGGACTTCACCAACTCTGGCCATTCCGTAGAAGGCCAGCAACGCACAGCCACACCAGCGCTTATAGCCTCTCAGCCAAGCAAGAGTCACCATCGCCAAGAGCAGCGGCTCAGGAACCGGCGTCCTGTGTATCACTGGTTCAACGGCTTCCCACCTCGACAGAAGTTCCCAGGCAGGTCCCAGGGAGCCCTTCAGCGAAATGATCGCTCTTTGAGCACCAACCAGAGTGTACCTGAAAGTGTGCTTCGAGCCACCAGCTTGAAAGAGCTCATTTCCATAAGCTCGCAGGGCCATGGCAGCTAAAAGAGGACACACGACGAAGAGACTGACCGGGTCGACAGACAGAGAAGGGGAGACCCAACGCAGAAAGGCCGACCAGGCAGAGGAGCCGAGGAACAGCGAAGTATCGGACTGAAGAGGACGTGATTCGAGGTCCCCGGTGCGCTTGGTAGCGCGGCGACGAGGCCCAGGATTCTTTGCTTCACCAACCCGGCAAAGGCACCCGAGCTTGGCACACGCGGCAGGGTCGAGAGGACGAACAGAAGTCCACTGAGCAGCTGCACACAGCCCAACAGCCAGGGCATCGGCGAAACCTGCAGGTATCGTGTCGGCAAGAGAAGTCCAAGGAAGCCGAGCCGCGGAGGAGTGCCCAACCAGGCGAAGATGCCTGACAGAAGCTTTGCAAAGCAACCGCGCACCGCCGAGGGAGCAGTTGGTCGCGACACGCGTGCGCTTCCTCCACCGGCACCCAAACTGGCACAAATCCGCCCGAAAGGTAGAAGCCGAGTGTGCCCAAGCCTCTTCCTCCCAGCCAGGTAGGAGCCACCACAGCGAAGTGTCCGGCTGTCCAACCCAGTACACCACCTGCAGCTTGTCACACAGATTTCGGTTATGCAAGAACCACTCGGCAAGAAAGTTGTCTGCAAGGACTTTTGCACGAAGGAACGGAGAAAGGTTCCAAAGGCCCAAAGGATGGCTTCTGGAACGCGCTGGGGGGCGAATGGCCCGGGAGAAAGAAGAGGCCGAAGGCAAGCCACCGACAGCCGAAAAAGCACCGGACAACAGCAAGGCCTCCAGCCGAGCACGCAAGTCCACGGAGCTCAAGTCTTCTGCAGCAGACCGCTGCGAGTCGAAAGTCAGCACCCAGGGGGCCCCATACCGAAGCAATGCGCGGGAAATCGAGCGCCGCGCGGGCGAGAGCTCAAGAGCCCCAGGCACAGACAAATCCAACGGCCTTTTCGCATCGCAAAGGAACTGCCTGATTGGAAAGGCCTGCAGACCAGGCAGCCACGAAGGAGTGTCGGCGCTCGCTGCACCGCTGTTGCACACCACTTGCTGCACGAACCTCGGCCTGGAGACCTCTGACCTAGTTGCGTGCCTCCGTGACCGAACCAGCACACTCGAAAAACATCTCTCCCTGTTCGACTTCACCACGGCAGGCCTAGAACCACCAAGCAGAAGCAGGTCGTCCTGCTCAAAAGCCTCCGAACCTTGAACCTTGGACGGCAGAGCGGCAAGGAAGGCTTCAAACGGCCCGGCCTCGCCCTTTTCAAGCGAAGTCCACCAAGCAGGCTTCAGCATCGAAGGGGCGCGCACCTCTGCATGTCTTGTCGGGTCGTCGGCTGGGTTGAGAGCCGAAGGGAAGAACAGAAAGGAAGGAAAGAGCCGCGAGCCCAAAAAGCGGAGCAAGCGATGCACGCAACCTGCGGTTCAAAATCCACGAGGCAGATCTTCCTTTGACCAAAGCGCCGAGGCAAACTTGAGAGTCGAGGGCGCAAAGAGGACGACCAGAAAGCACCCTTCCGGCTAACCTGGCCTCCTCATGAAGGTAGGCGCCTAGCTCGGCAACGTTGATATGCATGCGACGTGTGTACCGGCGCCGCCACCGAGTTTTGTACTGCGGAACCCTCGCGAGGCACTCGGCGACAGGGTTTGCAACGAACTCGAAGTCACCCGGGAGCTCTGCTTCAGGCTCAAGGAGGTTGTGCTCTTTGAGCCAGGCGCTGGGCGGCGCGAGCAGCTTTGTCCACGCGCCTCGTTGAAGCGAGTGGCGCTGGAACTCCTCAACCACGGGCTGCGCAACTTCAGCTGAAACCGCTGCCTGCCAAGAGCTGGAAGCGTCGGAGGCAATGACAGTAGTGAGCGGCTGGGCACGCAGGTCAACCACCGCTAGGTGGCCCAAGCACACGAAGGAAGAAAGCTCAGCTTTCAACTCAGGGCTCAAGCGGAGGATCGACTGGGCCGTCCCACCACGCACGGCAGAAAAGCACAACTCCACCAAGCTGAGCATGCGGCGTCGCAACATGAAGACTGATACCCAAGAGCCGAGCAGGCTTTCAAGCAGGCTCCTGGTTGTAAGTCCCAACTGTAGAACTCGCACGGTGATCAGCACCAGCGGCCAGTACCGAGCAGGGTTGGCACGAATGAGTCCGGAAACCCCGCAGCAGTCGACCCCCCAAAACGAAGCCTGTGTCTTATCCTCAAAAGTCTTTTTGTCACTGTACCTGAGTCTTGCAGAGTCGTACCCGGCCAGTGCCCTTCGCAGACGTGTGGAGGCCTCCGAGCTACCTGGGTTCTCTGCAAAGAACGGGAGCTGGGAAGCGAGACACCTTTGCAACACTATCAAATCGTCGATAACCAGGCCGACGGACAGTAGGCCCCTCGGGGGCGCGGCTGCCTGCACCAAAAGCTCACCTGCATGCACAACTCTGGCCTGAGCGAAAACACCTAGGTGGCTGCACTGTGCGAACTCGCACGCTGAACTGTCGCCCATAGCCAGGGATGAGAGCCCACACAAAACAAAGCCGCCAGGAGCCTGAAAGGAGTCAGCGGGTCGCCCAAACACAAAGGCAGCTTCACTGAGGGACAGCTTGCACGCAAGGTGGTTTCTAACGAGTCTCTCTGGTGTCGCCTTGAACTGGTAGAAGCAATCTTGCAGGTCGGTGCCACACATAATCAGCACTTCGTCCGGGCGCAGGTTTAAACACCCGAGGCAAGCAGCACTGGCAAGCGTGTGCACCCACCTGCCGGGAAAGTTTTCGAGCTCGTTAGCTGGTCGTGCGTCTAGCACCAAGCGATCCCTGGCACCATCTTTGGCAACTGCGAAGAGGCCTGCGCCCCAATCCTCACGCTCAAGAGGAACAGAGCTCAACGGCTCGAGTCGCCCAGAACGGGCCAGAGCTTGCAACAACAAAAGCTTCTGCCGGGAGTCGGCCAGTATCTTTACGAAAGGAGGCCGTTCGGCAGCAGGGTCGGGAACCCTGGCGTGGTGCAGCGGATTTTCAAAGAAGTCCGCGGTCGTGCGGTCCATGTAAGGTGAGGCCACAAAAGTCGGGCACGCTGGAAGCTTCACGCGGTCGGCCACGATAGGCATAGCAGCAATGTCCGGTTTTCCCGGAAGAGTGCCAACGATCTGAGCCGGGGGCGGCCCCAACACAGAAGGAGCACCCTCCACAGAAACAGAGCGCGGCAAGTACCCGGCTGAGAAGCCCCTGCAAACAGAAGCGGCAGCACGGCCCAATGCACACAAAGTTTTTGCTTGGCCCTCCACCTTGTGACCAATTCGTCCATAGTCCTGTGGCTCAAAAGTCAAAGGGAAAAAACTGCCGAACACCAAATGCTCGAGGTTCTTGACCTGCTGCCATTGCTTGCGGTTGAGAGGCACCCCAAGACGAATTGTCGAAGGGCAGGAAGAGGGGCAACCCAAATGTTCGTAGGACAAGCGGGCCACGGTGAGATTGATCAACCGCTTTTTCCACAGCCCGGGTCTATTGGCATCCGCGGCTTCAGGGTAAGGCAAAGGACAAGGCCAGGTGAACGGCGTGGGAGCACGGTTTGGCTCCGAACGGTGAGCAGAGCGAAGAAAAGAAGCAAAAGAGCCGGAGCAACGACAAAGGGCTCGCGGCATCGAATTCCACAGGGCTGGCAGCGACAAACACGGAGCTTCAGAGCCGGGTGCTCGCCGAACTCCAGCACTGCTCATGCATCTGGCTTTTGTGGCGGTCTGCGGGGAGGCTTTCGAGGAGGCCGCTCGCTCGCATCTGCTGCCTGCTCGTCCTGCTCCTTGTTGGTGGTGGTTGACCGGTGCGACAACTTCTGCCGACGATCCGTGAACTCGGCCTCCTCCCGCAACCTGGAAAGCGCAATCTCTGCCCACCGGGGGTCCAGCAGACGGCTGTATGCTGGATCCCCCGCTGACGACGTGCTTTCGTGTCTCCTGAAAGAGCTCATTGGGGGCCCCAATTCCAGACTCAGTTCTTGTGCCAGAAGCCAGCTGCCACGGTCGATTGAGCACTGATCTGCTTGAAGGAGGGCTATGTTCAGCCTCGCCCTTGCTTGTTCTGGCTTCTGGGCCCTGATGCAATCCAAGGCTCCAGCTATGGCCCATGTGAGGTGGACCATACTTGGAAAAGCCTGAATCCGACTCCTGTGCTCTAACCACGCCCTTGTTGAAGTAAGCACGGGAGATCCAGCGCCGGGCGTGCTCGCATTGAGGTCCTCTGCCATCAAGGATTCGATCATCTTGCTGATTTCCTGAGGAGCAGAAGTGAGGGAGTCTCGAAGTGCTTTGCGAGCAGCTGCATTCCGGCGACCTGAGTTGAGGGAACCGTCCAGGGAGCCACCGCCGCTGGCATCGAGAGCTCTGTCGAGAGCTGTCTGCTTGCCTGACCCAGACTTTAAAGAGTCGAGGCATCGAACCATCGCCTGTGCAAACGCTTCGGCCGGCTCCAGATTCTTCGCCGGTTGCGTGCTGGCAAGGGCCACGGCCGATGCACCCACGGGCTCGATTGCTTCGGCCTCCTCTTCTGACTCGTCCAAAGGGGTAGGCCGCTGAATGGCAGCTCCTCGCTCGGGTTCCGCCCTCAGACGGTGCAGCGGGCGAGCCTCCACCAAGCGACTCATCTCGCCTAGCACGTGTGGTTCGACGCCTGAAGCCAGAGCAGCTGCAACAACACTCTGGTCCAAGCCGGGGTACGCCACCGGCACTCCTAACTCCTGAGGGCGGGCCGCAGCCGAAACGCCGCGCTGAGGGGCCGAAGGGCCTGCTTTTGCACGAGAAACCTGCTGCGGGGCCGCTGGCACATCGGCGCCCGGACCCAAGGAAGGCACGAGAGAGGCTAAAGTACGCTCGATAGAAGCCAGGCGCTCCGGCAAATTTCCCTGCACCTCTGTGCCCTCGTTTGCTGTATGCACCGGGGTGGTAGCACTTCCAGTCACCTGATGCTGCCACAAAAGGGCCAAAGCCTCGGCAAAAGGCACAAGCAGATCGCCGTTGGGAAGAGCTCCGAAGTTGACCGAAGGAGGGGCATCCGAAACCTGTATGGACTGCTCGGCATCTCCTTCGCAGAAGCCAAGCCACACACGCACCGTTTGCCCAGGAAGCTCGATCGCACGATCGGCCACCGACGCTGTTGCAACTTCTGCCGCTATGACTTTGCTGAGGAACCCACGAGGCACTGTCCTTTTGGCCACTTTGCGATGCCACGCGGCCGCCGGAAGGCATATTAAAAGCTTGTTTTGCACGTCCCCCACAACCACGCAGTGCACCGTAACTGGAAAACCTTCGTCGTCTTCGCCACAGGCAAGCACACAAAGAGGGGCAAGAGGGTCAAGGAACCCCTCACCCACACAGGCACAATCCCTGGCAGCCAGGGCTTCACCGTCCACACCTCCGACTTCCTCCTCCATCTCACCAGCTGTTCGGCAAGACAAGGTTGGCTGCGGCACAAACGCTCAAAATGTCCTGGCGGGCGGGCAGACCGACGAAGATCGAATCGCCGAGATCTGATCCCCTCTTGCAGCAGGCAGCACACTCACTGAAGTTGCGGCACACTTTGATCGGCGAAAACACCTCGCCCCTGAAATCTCGCACGACAAGCCAGTACCTTGACTGAAGCGGCAAGCGGTCTCGGCCTGAAGTGCCCCTGTGACCTCCGTCCAAGGACCGGCGCAAAAACAAGCCGATCTCTCTGCAAGCTGCTGCACGCTCTGTTGCTGAAACCGCAGGAGGGCTACGCTCTGGCAACGAAGGAGCTGGCCCCGTGTTCCAAGCAGTAAGGCAAGGGGTGCTAGCGGCCGGGCTCGGGGAACTAGGGTGTTCGGGACTAGGGGCTGCCCTAACAACCTGAGGAGGCGAACTAGAGGTAGGGAGCGGCTGCACTATGTCGAAACCCAAAGGGCTGGCGACTTCCTCCAGCCGCGCCTGCAGCACACGCACCTGCTCTCGCAACTCGACCACCAACTCCTCAAGGTGCTGGACACGAAGCTCGAGGCTCATGCAAACCTTTACGAGCTGAGGATCCGGTACCTGAAAGGAGGCCTAAGGTACCTATCCAACCGAACCCAAAGTAACCCTCTAAGGCAAAGCACGAGCTCCAGGGCTGGAAACAAGAAAATTCCAAGCAGCAGCCCGAGCAGCACGGAAGGAAAGTGGATTTTCCAGGGAGGTAAGTCGAGGAAGTCCAAAGGCGAGGAAGGGCACACCGGGCAATCCAAGAAGGGAGGGTCAGACTCGAAAAGCCGAGACAGGTGTAAAAGAAGCGAGGTGACGGACAGACCAGCGGACGACGAGACCAGGGCCCTAGACATCCACTTAAGCCGAATTTCTACGAGCCTCGTTCACATTAAAACATGTCGAGACATCATCGTCATCCTGAAACTCTGCATCGACATCATCATGAGGATGGGCATAGCGACATCAGTGATGTGACGATGTTACTGCTATCACTCGTTGTACCTGCATTGCATGTTTCTGGCCTGAAACGTCAAGCGTCAAACTAGCAGACCGAAGACCTCGACCTTTCCCTCGTGGCGCGGCTGCTAAACTACTACGCTTTACGAGATGCTCAAGCAGCAAGTGCAATCTACTATAATATGTTACAGTACACTATAATATATCATAATGTTCTACCGTACAGTATAATTTGTATAATATACTATAATGTACTACAGTACAGTATAATATGCTATAATGTACTACAGTACGGTATAATATGCTATAATATACTACAGTACAGTATATTTTGTTTTCTTATACTACAGTACCTTATAATATGCTATAAATATACTACAGACTGTCTTGCACGGGAGGCACCAGGTTGAAGGAGCCTGCAGCAACGGCGGACACACGATCAAATGCGATATCGGATTAGGGTTCAGGAGTTAGGGTTCAGGGTTCAGGGTTTAAGGTTTAGGGTTTAGGGTTCAGGGTTCAAGGTTTAGGGTTTAGGGCTTCGGGTTCAGGGTTTAGGGTTTAGGGTGTAGGTAGGGTTCACGGTGTAGGGATTTGAAGCCAGACTTCATTGCCAGGCCCGTGCCGGACACACTACCGGCAAACCCGAAACCCTCTGAAGCCCTAAAGTTTAGGGCTTAGGGTTTAAAGTGTAGGGTTTAAGGTTTAGGGTTTAGGGTTTAGGGCCTAAACCCAAAAGACCTCCCACCTCCAGACTTCTGTTAGCCTCATTACTCCAACTTCCAGGCAACATACAACTATGACACCTACAACAACTAGCCCTGTCATTCTTGCTACGAGTACTACCGTCAGCAGCATGCTCTGGGCCTGCATCCTTCAGGGTTCCTATCGCGAACCCCAGCAGCGAAACTTGGACTCCCCAAACCAAACCCTGAAGTGAGACAGAGACAGGCAGTGCGACATGAAACAAGCAATCACACACACACACACAACATAACACGCACAAGATCAGAAGAAGGGTTCTAGAACTAGCAGGCAGAAAAGGCACTGGCAGAAAGCACCCTGATATTAGGGTTTAGGGTTTAGGGATCACACTGCTCAAAAGATTCGACAAGAAACCATCTGACTCGGAGGGGACATCATCACTGTTGTCAGTATCTGGAGCTTTGCACTGATAATGGTACAGCACCTCCGAAGGTTGGAAACACTCAAGCGACGTGGCCAGGAAAAAGAGAACGAAAATGCTTCCCAAGATGGCAGAAAAGCTCCTTTTCGGCGCAAGGTAACCGGAGGGCTACATAACAGGCTGAGAAGCGGTGGAAAAGAGTGCCTTTGGCACAAGACTCCTTACCTGCCATCATTAACCACCTGACCAGGACCTCACGGCAGGTTGCCGGTGCCCCGCCAAGCTCCAACCGTTTTCAAATTCCAACCGTTTTTAAATGCCTAGATGTCCGGAAGCTCTTGGTCCTCCATCGGAGATTCAGATTCAGCTGCCTCGGCTGCCTCAGCATCGGTCACATCACTCTTGTTGTCTGGTTGGCGCCGCAGCTTCCCGACCAAATTAGCGATGGAAGTGCCCTCCAACCACCACCTGCATTCTTTGCCGGATGCTCACAGAGCGCACTATGCTTCTTTTGCTCAGAAACTGAAAGAACACATTTCTCAGCGAGTTAGCCACATAAACGCTGCAAGGATCACAGCAAGCGCGAGGATGCCGAATGCCCCTTCAAGACTGCTCTGGTACGACATTGCAGCAACCTCGTGCGCCAGGCTTTGTAGACCTGTGACGACGATGATGATAGCCAGGGTCTGCATGTGATCGAAGGGGCCGAAGCGCTTCGGAGCTAGAAGGTCACAAAGGTATATCATCAATAATATTGCAGAAACGGTACAGAAAACCTCGGTTCTTCGTGCTACCTTAAGGCAATTTGTTGATTAATGATGCGAATATCGGCCTAGTGTTGCAGTGCGACACAGCTTTTGCGTTAACACCACGATGCATCGAATGCCAGGAACATGCCGACGAAGTAAGAAATCAGAACTTCCACTGGTGCACCGCCCTTCCAGTTCGCCAGGAAAAACTCGAAGCTCATGCTAAGGATAGGAGTCCTGTGCTCATGGGCTTCTGACTGCAATGATTACCGTCATTGAGTCATTGGGGAGCTTATGCTGAACGTATGCTGATGATGATGGAAATGATGGTGGTGATGCTGATGATCATGGTGATGGTGATGATGATGACGATGACGGTGATGACGACGATGACGATGACGCGATGCCGGCGACAACGACGATGATGACGATGACGATGATGGTATTGACGGCTGTGTACTATTTCTATGACCAAGACCACTACAGAAATTTCATTCCCACTACACTACACTGTCACTACACTACACCTGGTCGTGTTCCTACCGCTGATTATCACCATCATTTCGATGGCTGCTGCCATTTTGCGATAGGCACTAACGCAGCAATTGTTGCTGTCAAGACTATGTTGGAATTACTGCTCCTAATTATGTTTGCTACTACTGCGATGTTTACTGTCGTGACCTACTGGCGGTACGCCTTGACGAAAAACGCAATTGTTCCTACACGCCCACGGGCTTGTGGCTTCGTTGCATCACGTCTAGACAATAATTCTCCCTTCAGTCACCCACGACTCAGGCTCGCAAGTGCAAAGCCCGAACAGTAAGTTTGGACGAGCTTGCGCAAAACTTGATTCATGAAAACAGTCTTTGCCAAGAACAGAGGAGTGTCAGCATCAGCAGCAAGTAGCGATTTGGAAGCCTGGTGGCTGACAGAGTCTTGGCAAACTCCTGCTTCAAATCGCGGCGCACCTGGAGCGCAGTACTGGAATTGACCAAAGCTTGAGGGTTAGGGGAGTTAGGGGTATGATTGTGTTGCAGAGAAAACTCACACCAGACCGAGGTGCATAGCTTGTGAAAATGTCCTTATGTCCGTACCACTTCGTGATGGCCGCATGGATGAAATCTCCTCAGACTGCTTGGATCCATGAAAAATGTTGGAGAACGCTCCGAGCATGGATTCCTTCCCTGGCCGCAACACTAAAACCAGCGTCAATCGAGGCTTCTTCACACAGCTTGGAGCGAGTTGAGTCTGAGCAACGGAAAACAAATAAGAGAATGAATGATTGCCCTCTTCGGGCTAAGATTCATGAGCCTTCCCTTGCGGGATTAGAATTTGGCAGATTGCTCGATACACTCTTGCGACCGTGTCTCGATCAAACTTCTGGCTGCAGCCGACCTGATCTAAGTCAAAGCTTTCCAGCTGCAGCAGGAGCTGATATTTTTCGCGAAAGCTCATCCTCAGTCCATACACGCACATGGAATTTGGCAGGATCCAAATCGCGAAGGATGCCACAAATGTTACGACGCCAGGGCCGAAAACATCCCGTGCCACCAGCAGAAGCAGGCAGACACCGTACTGCGCCACCATGGTCAGAGCCACGACCCTCTCAAGAAAGAGGGGCCGGAAGGCAACTTTTCCCGATGGGTTCACTTTCTTGTATGCTGCCAGCCTCACTGAGACGGGAAGTTTGACCATCATTGCTCTCGCTATGAGTCTAACTTACGACTTACGGGAATCTCAGGAAAGTCTCCTTGAATAGTTCCCAATGATAATCGGATAGAATCTTGCGCTGACGACCCTGACAAAAGGACCCCTGTAAAAAAATACCCTTTTCGAGTTAAGGGTTTGGGGTCGCTCTATGTTCTCCAGAGGATTCGGATCTGTCGGGAAAAGAAAACGACACGAGAATCGGCAACCAAGGCGCTCAAAGACGCACCAGAGCCTTGCCGTGACAGGGAAACGCTGATGATGATGATGATGATGATAATGATGATGATGATGACGACGATGATGACCACGATGCTGATGAGGATGAGGATGAGGATGAGCATGATGAAGAAGAAGACGATGACGATGACGATGACGATGACGATGATGATGATGATGATGGTGATGGTGATAGTGATGGTGATGGTGATGGTAGTGGTGATGATGAAGATGCTGATGATGTTGATGATGACGACAGGTGCAAGTCACTCTTCTCAATGCTCCAGATTATGAGCTAGAACATCTTAATAGCTTCTTACATTAATAATCAATTTAATTGTGATGTGAAGCGCCATTCCAGCAAGAACCATAATGATACATGTCTTTGTGATAGTTCCTCTTATCCTCATATGCCAAGGCTGAGTCAAGCAGGACCTTGGCGGCTGATTCATGCGGAATAAGGCTCTACATGTTTAAGACTTCGAGGTTGAGCTGCAACACACGCAGTACCATCCCTTACCGCCCGACACTGCGAGAGCATTCTTACGAGGACTGCTGATTCTTCAATGAAATTACTCATAGACCCTAAACCCTAAACTGAACTCTTTTTCCCAAAGTAAACCCTTAATCATGAATTCACCAAGTGGCCGTGAGAGGTATGGTGCGCTCCAGAGGATTCGCAGCTCCTCTGCCAGGCCGAGGAAGCCGGCGATGCTGAAAACGCCCCGCTCCATGAGCCGCTTGTCCACTTGGTTGATGCACGTCACATCCTGAGCTTCTTGTTAGAAACTGGCATTCAGCTAATCTGAGTACAAAACCGAATACACGGTACTGCTGTATCACAATATACGTTCCTGAAGAACAACCCAGCATCAATGAAGCCCGTGTCTGCGAAAGAAAAGCACCTTGGCCAATAGGGCGTCGACAGAAGCCCCAGCACAGTCGCCAGGAGACTGCTGCACAAAACGCAGATGCCCATGGGGCAGACGTCCTCAGCTTCCGCTGCTGTAGCTTGCGTTTTAGTTAAGAAAGCCTAACGAAGACTATCCAATGGCCTGATGAGTCTAAGGGTCAGTGAAGCCCATGATTCGGGCTTCGTACTTCATGGGCATGGGTAGAACATCCTCTAAGCACAACGAAGCAGTGAGCGCCACCGTCAGGATCCATAAAGCAAGGACATAGCACCAGCCACACTGAAAGGACAGCGAGAGGAACTTCCATCTGCCTGGCGTCCACCAGGTGTGGGACAAAAAGACATTGAAGGATCTTGCTGGGGCCGACAGATTGCACAATGCCAGCCGATCTTCCGGCAGCCAGGTAGAAGGGTTGTAGCGCCAAACACGGCCGAGACGCCCGAGGGATTTGCGGAGCGAAATGCCTCGGACCATTGCCATGTCGACCTCAGAGTATCTTCGCTTTGTATGCCTTTGGCTCGGAGTCAATCTTGCAACAGAAGCTGCTGAACTGCGGCTGCTCGTAGGAGACGCTCCAGAATACGCTACAGCGACGGGAACAGCAAGAGTTTGGATGCCATGCTTTCCATCAATATTAGACACCTGCAGCGACATAGGCAGCGCTATGGCATCCGAGCCCTCATTTCTCTTTTGCTGCGGTTGCTCCTTGTCGTGATTGTGAGCAGGGAATCCCTCCACCACAGGCGATCCAGTCTCGTCATCTTCTCCCGGTTTGCGACGGCAGCATGGATCCACACAATCATTTCCCTGCCAACTTGGCCCAGCACCCATAACACCACAATGCACCAGGGACTAATCTGAACCAAGCGCTGCGACGACCTGTAAGTCTGCAATCTGTTAACTTTCTTGCGGGTTTGGGTTTAAACGCAACGAAGTGTACTAAACCTCTGTTTAAGATCCTGAACTCCATGACTGTTTTGAATGTGCTGCCCCAATTTACGGCAAGAGTCAAAAAAAATCTGACAAACAAAAGCAAACTACCCTGAGCCACGTGCCCAGGTCTGTCTGCCAAGCCTCACAAACCCCGGCCTGTCGCTTCAAAAGAATCTCTTGAAGTCTGTAATGCAGTATTTATGACTCTCAGCTTCGGGACTGACTCGGGGATCATTTCATTGAGGAACACATGCTTTCTGCAACCACAAAAACATCTTTCGTTCTCTCACACTCTCTTTTCATGTTTGGTGTGAACCATGTTTTTTTTGTTGGGCATAAATGCTCCTGAAATCTTGAGCCTCGCAAATCTGAGTCGGGGGAGTATGTAGTCTGTCGTGCGACCTTTTTTAATAGGCTGAAGGGGGTCAGATTAGGTGAACCCACCGTTTTTCCGGACATGTGTGTTTTGTATACTGGGCCTGGAGGCGAGCGGTGTTGAACCATCTCTCGTTTTCTTATTGTCCCGTTTTATTGTTTTTTTCTCCCTTTCCCCCCCCCCCC